GTGATGCTGCCTCGCCCCGTAGGGCGGCCCGGCGTCAGACCTTCTGGGAGCGCGACAGCTGGTGTTGGGCTGGAGAAGCGGTGCGGCCCCGGGGCGACAGTGCGAGTTCTTTGGAGCAGTGGCACCTCGTGTCCGGGGTGGGGCGTGAGCTGGGGCTGCCTCGCCGCCGTTCATCTCGGGACTTGCGCCCGGTTTGTGGATAACCTTGGGGAAGTTATTTACCTCCTTGGCGCTCTGATCCTTCTTTAGACCGATTCCCAGGGGCACGAGCAGGGAGAACGAAAGCAGCAGAGCAGAAATAGTGACGTGCCAGGGTTGTCTCCGGTCCAGCTACCGTTTCTCCCCCATTCCCATCTTTCCTTCAGGGTTGAGCGTTACCTTTGGACTAGACTTACTTCCTTGATAATGAACCTGATCTATTCCACCGATTCCACCCCTGATTGCCACCGCTATTCTCCCAGATTCTTAAAACCAGAATGGGAGATTAGGAAGAAACGTGGCCAAATCACGCAGTTAACAATGTTTTCAATCTGTAAAGTGGGAAGGATCAATGATACAGCGAGACCTGACTTATGAAGGGATTACTGGAGGCTTTCAGGAGCTAAGGCCTCTGAATGGGAACTCCCAAGTCAGCAAATAAATGCAGCGTTCTAGGGCAGCCCTTTGTAGGGGAGGAAACCAAGCACTGAGCACTGCGAGGTTCCTACGTGGCCTGGAGGCAGGTGTCAGTGACTGCCTTGACTCTGCTGGGGCTTTCACTGATTCCACTCCGGTCCTCTGCACTTAGTGTTTTGAGGAACTCCTCTTCTGCGCATTGCTTTCTCTCTCTCTTTTTCCCAGGCACCCCCTGAAGAGCTACCATGTCTGGGAACGACTCATGTTCCACAGAAACCAGCAACAACAGCTGTGACAGCAAACCTACAAATCTTCGAACGTCAGAGAAGAAATGTTGTGAGTTCTGGGAAAGAGGAAGGGGCTGCCATCTCTTAGGGTTTTATCCTGAGGCTCAAGTTGTAACCCTAGGTTCTGCTGCTTGGTGGGAACAAGCAATAACCCTGACAGGGGTGCACATTTTCCGGGCAGTTTCCTGTGTACAACAAGCAGACTTGGTGACCTGTGTGTCCATGGAGCTGGACTGCTGCTGGGGCCCAGCATCTCCTCTCTGCCTGTTTGGGCGATCTGCGTGCTTGGTTGATGTATGGAAAGGCAAGAGTGGCAGGGCTCAAGAACGGCTTGGGGCTGCTCCTCTGTTTTCCTTTTTCTGTTGCGCAGAGTCCTGGGAAGTCGCTGCTCACTGCAGAGATTGCAGCAGGAGGGTGCAGTGCTGCCCTATTCCTACAGGCCCGACTTCTCCTGGTTTCTTTGGCATCTTTCTTTCTTACGATCGTACACGGTTTCACAGGAGAAGTCTGGTGCTGGTCTTGTAGACAGAGACAGCAGGGGCTGCAGGTGAGGAATGAAGCCTCATTTCCTGTCCCTTTGTCTCTATATTCCTAGCATTATAGGCTGTAGAGCTTCCCAGGAGTCTGGCATATCAAGGAGCGCTGATTCTTGCCCCTGCTTTTAGATTACACCTTTCCTTTGGAACCACATGGGTCAGTTTTTCTCATTTTAGTGGAGATTGATCAATTGATCTATTTATCTATCTAAAATCAGTCAGCAGGTAGAAGCAGCCGACCGACATGAGACCAGGAATTGTCTCGTGCTGAAAACTTTTCCCAGAGCCTCAACCTTGGTGCCTCCGTGCTCTTTTGTGTTTCATGATTAGCCGTGGCGATCTCCACACAGTACCCATGAGGTGGGCTGGGCAGAAGCAGCTGGTTTGGATGTGACTGAGGCTGGCGCACCTCTCCGATTAGGGTCTCCCTGGCAGAACGCCCTGCGAGAGGTGACTAGTTAGCGCGATGCCAGAGAGCAGCCTCTGGTCAGTGCTGGCTTTGCTGTTTCCTGGCTGTGTGTCCTAGAATGAGTTGCTTATCCTCTCCTTGTAAAAGTAGGGATACTAATAGTACCTCCCCAAGACTGATGTGAGGATGAAACAGAGAAACACAGGAAAACACGGAAGACAGTTGACTGCCTCTTGTCTTTATTCCTGAAGCATTGCATATAATGGATTCACACTCAAATGCTATGCTTGAAGATCATTATATGGAAGGGCCCTGGGAAGGACTGGTTGGTTTTTTTTCCTCAGTAAAGAATGTTTTCTCTATGTGTTTGACAGTATTATAACCCAAATTTGGAAGTCTGGGATGCCCCCCTTTTCAAGTGGATGTACTCTTGTTACTAGGGTACTTGCTCCAAAAGAGAGCAGAGAGCTGGGCATGGTGGCAAATGCCAGTAATCCCGGCACTTTGGGAGGCTGAGGCAGGAGGATCACAAGTTTGAGCCCAGCCTGGGCAATTTAGTGACTTAGCAAGACTCTGTCTCAAAATTTAAGAACAAAAAGCTAGGGATGCAGCTCAGAGTGAGGGCTGGGCTACAGTCCCCAGTACCTCCTCCCCCCAAAATAATGAGAACCAGAGCAGTACAGAGCCGATCACTGTGGATGTTCACGACTGCAGGTTGCCCAGTGTCAGTCCTGGCTATGCTTTTTCCACACCAGCAGTCTCCTGTCCACCTTCCTAACCCTTTTTAATTTTTCTGCATTGAGGAATTTTCATTAAGGAAACAATAATCCCACGTCTTTCGTGTTTTCTAAGCTCTCATTCCCCCTCCGGGCTCTGCTCTCTTCTTTCTGAGCTTCATCCTCCTCTCCAGACCACGCTCTCTCCTGGCTGGGCATGCTGGGCTGTCCAAAGGCCACTGTCCTTCATGCACCCTGCTCTCCTCCTGGTGGGACATGACACTGTGGCAGCCCCAGTCAGGAGGATGTGCAGTCGCTTTTCCTTTTTCCCTGCTGTATTCTGAGACATGTAACTTGGATTGTTCTAGACATCTTATTCTGCTATATTGTATCAATGAAAGTAGATTTGTTTACTGTACTCATTTCTGCTGCCATCTCCTTTAGCATTTTGAAAATGTGTCATGGACGGCTCTTCCAGGTTGGTGAGTCCAGATTCCTGCGAAGGCACCCTGTCTCAGGCTCTCTGGCTGCTTAGCGCTCACACCAGTGCTTGCTTTATTAGTAGCTCCGCCGTCATCCCTCGCTGTTCGTTACACCCATGTTGGCTGACATGGAGTCTGGGGAGTGGTGAGGATTTCAGGGGTGACAGTGACTTCAGGGAACCCTAACCTCCTGAGGGGCATTCTTGGGGCATTTGTAGGAGCAGCTGTGTTTACAGAAATGATGATCACAGGCACATAGGAAATGTTCCTTGGTGTTACTAATGTGCACTTTGAGGAAGTTCTGCTATCTGCTGTTTGCGGTGTTTCAAGGTGTTGGAAGTCAGGGGCAGGGGGCATCATTAGTTGTACCTGTGCTGGTTAACTCAGTGGCTCTCCCAGTGTCCAGCTGCAGTGACAGCACCCTGGGTATTTTACACATACCAGTTGGTAGCAGGAGATACCAGTTTTTATGGCTTCTGATGGATGAAAATACTACTAAAGAAACCTGCATATTTCAAAGTATTGGGCTATCTGGAGTGTGTGCTGGAAGAAGTCTTAGACCAGGGAAAGGCCGGGCCTGGCTCTCCTAGACCACCCTCTGTATTCGGTGGAGAGTGCAGTTCACCTTACAGTGGGTCTTCTTGTTGGTGTGGACGTGCGGCTGGGAGCTGGCAGCCTGGCCGAGCAGCGGTCATGAGACCAGGAGTCTCCTCAGGAGCCCTGACCTTGACCTTCTCTTGCAGGACTGTGGGCAGAGCTCTGCACGTCTCCAGGCCTGTGTCTCTCCACTTAGGTGAGGGAATTTGTCGGGCCCCTTCCCATCTAAGCATGCTTATGGAGACAGAATTGGTTTACTGTTGTGAAAACAAGTCGAACTTCGTGTAAAGAAGAGAATTGCTAGACGGAAACTGGCCTGCAAGCAATGGCCTTACAGTATCTGAAATCAGTCAACCCGAAGTGTCACCCGTCCAGATAAAGTTGGTGGTTGGGTGATTTTGGCTTTGAACATAGAGGACAAAATGTTCCATGTTTTGCCAATGTAGCAGTTTGAGATGGGAAGTGTGGTTTGGTTTTGCCCAGAAGGATGAGAAGAAACCTGCTGGCAGCAGGTGTGTGTGGGCGTGTTCTGGGCCGAGACAGGAGGTGTGGAGGGCAGGATGTGGCGCCCGATCACTGTGTAAGCCTTTGTTCCCCAGTCCTTGTCCAGTGAGGCGCACACAGAGCAGCTGGCTCCCTGCTGCCTTCCCAGCAACTCCCAAGTATCAGTGCATTTTAAGCTTCGGGGAGGGCAGCAGAGCTGGGGGGAAAGGCGCCTACTGGGCTGGAAGGTGAGGAGTTAGCAGGTGTGGGAGGCAATTAGCCACATCCTGGGGGATGGAGAAGGATGTGGGCTCCGCTGGAGAGGCTGAAGACTCAGAGGATTTACTCCTGAAACCAGGCAGAGCTAGCTGCCCAAGGTCCGTGATGGGTTTAATACCCTGGAGGCCCAGGCTGGTGCTTGCTTGCCTCTGCGCTCCCTTTGGGTGGAGATGAGAATCCCTTATGTTGCTTCATTACCTACCCTGGAGGGGCTTCTGCCTATGCCTGCAATTGTCCATGCACCAAGGGGGTCAAGACTAAAAGTCCTCCTCTTTGGGCTCCTCCCTCCCAACAAAGGCCACCCTGGCTTCTAGGTACTTGCCTGCCACCCTTACGAAACTCTTCCCTTGGGCTCAGTTCTCTCTTGAGGCCCTTCTACCTCCTTCTCTGTTGAGATCTCTTTACGTTTCTTTCTCCAAAGATAAAATTTGCTTTGCAGGTGCTTCCAGTTTACTGGCTGGTTTCCTGGCCTTACAGGTTCACCTAGTGCTTACAGAGCAGCAGCCACAACTTGTAGGGCCCCTTCTGAGAGGAGAGCGGTGCCAGGGGTAGAAGGTCAAGCTGTCTCTTCCCTTCCCTGCGCGGTTCTGGGTCTTCCAGCTGGAGCTGGCAGAGCTGAGCCCTTTCTGGTGACCTCACTGTGGGTCTTGGCCCCGGGAAGGGCAGGCAGCAGTGTATCCTTGGTGGCAGGATGGGCATGGAGCCATCCTGGAGCAGGGACCTCTTTTCATGGAGAAAAGCTGCCAAGGAAGCAGACTCTGAATTCCAAGCCCAGCTCTGCCCCAGCCCTCGGATGAGTCACCTTTCCACAGAGCTCAGCTTACCCACCTGTTCAGTGGGCCTGAGCTTTCTGAATGAGCATTTCTGGAATGAGGTTGTTTACTAAAGAGGTTGGGATAGTGGCTGTTTCCAGTGAACTTGCTTCTCTAGGGCCCCTTGAGCCAGGCTGGTCCTGAGAGTTGGCTCGACGAGGAGGCTCCCTGAGCTCTTCAAGCCTGCATCAAGTAGGATTTGCCTACTGAATCCCACTGTGCTTTAGAAATTCCAGCGCAAGAAGGAGTTCTTGGCCTGAGTGCAGATGTCAAAAGGGCTTGAGGCTTTGCAGTCATGAGCTAGTTCTTCCGTGGCTCTGAAGGAATAGATGGCATCCTCCGGGCAGGAGTTGGACCTGTTTCACAAGCCTGTTCAGTTCGCACGGATAGAATAATAATATGTTACTGGTGTTCTCATGTTAAGGAGGGTGCCATGGTTACGTTCTTCCTAATCCTTACCCCTTTAAACTTCTTTCCATCTTGAGTACCGCTGTGAAGACGTGAGGCAGTGGAAAGGGCCTGGCTTAGACTGGATACTTCCTGGAAATCTGCATGGCCTGTTAGCTCTGTTTCAGGAGGGTCTGCACTGTATATCCTGTTTGCCGTCCCACTCTCCCTTTCCCCCGGTAATTTATGAGGATTTAATGGGATCATGAAGCTCCTAGCACAGGGCATAAGCCTTACCAGTTTGGTATCATTTAGTTTTGTTTTGTTTCACTTCTTTCTAGCATGGGCCTCCTACATGACCAACTCCCCAACTCTCATTGTTATGATTGGCTTGCCAGCCCGGGGCAAAACCTATGTGTCCAAGAAACTAACTCGCTACCTCAACTGGATCGGGGTGCCCACCAAAGGTAGGTGTAGGGCATTCCTAGCGAGCGATTAGTCCCAGGTCCCACGTGTCTTCAGGAGATGAATCCTCCGACATCAAGGTTAGTAGGATGCTCTGGCAGAAATAGCAGTCGCCTCCTTATTTATTGGATGTCCCCAGATTTGTCTATTCCTGGCCTGGGCATACTGGTCCAGTTTGAGGGAATGCCTTTGATAGGTGTGTTAAGAATCAATGAGAGCGAGGCTTTGCATTTTCGAAATCCTTGCTCATGCATCCAGTTACCTAAACCTAGCAGCACCCTTATGAAATTGAAACTCAGGCTGCCTGAGACTTGGCCAGGGTCTTGGGAGTCAGGACTTGAATCCAGCTCTTTTGACTCTTGATCTGGCATCATTCCCAACACACTGGTGCCTTGTGCGTCCCCTTGGCTGCTGTGACATTACATCAAGAGGCCCCCTTTGGTGGACATCATACTGTGCTGCTGACGGTTTTGGGCCTCTCCCACAGTGTTCAACCTTGGGGTATACCGGCGAGAGGCTGTCAAGTCCTATAAGTCCTATGACTTCTTTCGGCATGACAATGAGGAGGCCATGAAGATTCGCAGGTGAGCCGTCTTTAAGGCCCAGTTCCAGCGCAGTCTTCCTGGGTCACCATGAGACTGGAGGGGACAGGGTTTTGTTTTTTCTCAGTAAACGTCTCGGGATGTTAAGTAGAAGTTAGTCGTCTGATGGGCAGACACATTGAGCCGGAGGGGTGGAACTGGGCTCAGAGAGCTCTTGTGATTGATGCCAGGGTGAGCCAAGAGAGGGAGGGATGGGTACACTGGGGTAGGGAACTGTGTACAAACCTGGCGAGACCTGGTTAGGGAAGCTCAGTCGGCCGGGTGTGACCCCTTTGGCAGCCCGACCGTGTATCCCTGGCTGCACTGAGCTGAGCTCTGATTGCTGCCATCCTTGCTGTCATGGCAGACAGTGTGCGCTGGTGGCTCTGGAAGACGTTAAGGCCTATCTCACCGAGGAGAGCGGGCAGATCGCGGTGAGCCTCACCAGCTTCCTCCCCTCCTCGGGCTCCACCCCTCCTCCCGGCCTGCCTCGGTGGGGCTCGCAGGCCTCCGTCTCAGTCCCTGTTCATTTACCCCATGGGCTCTCTGCCCAGGTGTTTGATGCCACCAATACCACCCGGGAGAGGAGGGATATGATTCTGGGCTTCGCCACACAGAATTCCTTCAAGGTAGGCACTGAGTCGGAGTTGAAGGGGACGGGATGCGTGGAGGCGGGAGTGAGGACAGGGTTTGAATGCCCTTGACTTGGGCGAGCACCGGCTTGGACGCCGGATCCTCTTCTCTCAGGGCGTACCCCCAGTCCTTGAGTTTTCTTTCAGATCCTTTCTCAGACCTTTAGCCTGTATGTGTGAGGCCCAGGGGATGTGGTAAGAGCGATTTTTTTAAATGAGGAGGACTTAAAGGCCACTTTCATGAAAAAGTCCTGGGAGATGTGGTGGCTGGGTGGGGAGGTGAGCGCGTGCGCAGTTAGCTACTTGACATTTCTGACTTACCTATCACTGCCTTCTTTCCGGGGCCAGGTATTCTTTGTGGAATCTGTCTGTGATGATCCTGATGTTATTGCTGCCAATATCCTGGTGAGTGAGTGACGCCCTGACACATCCCCTCCTCCTCTTCTGTGCTGTGTGAGTGTTCGGGTGATGCTTCTGATCTGTTTGCTATCACAGAGAGATCTTTCTGTGTGCCAGAGAGCCATTTTGTACTTCTAAACTCTTCCCTTGGAACAAGGAACTGAGGCTTTGAGGAGTACAATGAGAGTTAGCTGCTGAGTCGAGACCGAGACAGTCTGTGAGGTCCTGGCCTTGCCTAGATGCTGAGCCCCATGTGTTACCCTAGGTCAGGGTGTTCTTTGCCTTCTGCCTTACAGGAAGGCCACCTGCCCAGCTGTCGTCCAGGTTCTGTGTCCCTCATGCCCTGTGGGCCCACGGCATTGCAGCGCCCCCATCTGATGGGTTGTGCCGTGCGAGTGGACATCTGCATGTGGCCTCCGGAGGTGCTCTCCGTCATGCGGGAACTGGGGTCATCTAAGGAAGAGGCCCAGTCCCCAGCCAGGCCTGGGCTGCGGTCCCTATTCCGAGCAGTGGGGGAAGTTTGGCCCACTGTTTTTTCCCAGGAAGGTACAGAAAAGGATTCGGGCCCAGGAGCAGTGTCAGCCGGGTGACTACCTCTGTCCACCAGCCAAGGCCGGGCACATGACTCCCCAGTTGTCTTTCCCTTCTTGGTTGCCAAGGTCACAGGACAGGGGAGGGTGCTCCCTGCATGGGCAGTGCCAGTGCTCCAGCGAAAAGCTGCTTTATGGACCTCTTTTTCGGCTTTCGGTGGCTGTCTGTGTGGGGCTGTTATGGGAAGGCCTCTCACCTCTTCCCATGCCTGTGGTTTCAGGAGGTCAAGGTGTCGAGCCCCGACTACCCCGAAAGGAACAGGGAGAATGTGATGGAGGACTTCCTGAAAAGAATCGAGTGCTACAAAGTCACCTACCGGCCCCTTGACCCCGACAACTATGACAAGTAAGGTTTAGGCTGAGGTTGGAAGGGGCTGGTCTTCTCGGGGAAGCGAGCCTTTCTCCTCTGCCCCAACGCCCACTGGGAACCCAGACCTGCGGAGACAGGGCATGGGCCTGTGGCTTCTGTGTGCATTGTGTCTTACACTTAAACACTGAAATGTTTTTATCATCAGTTTTCCTCTGTTCTCTAGAACGAGAGTTTTCGATCTCAGCATTATTGACATTTCGAATTGGATAATTCCGAATTGTAGGGCTGTCCTCTGCATTGTGGGATGCTTAGCAAAATCTCTGGTGTCTGCCTCCTAGAGGCCAGTGATAGCTCCAAGCTTGACAACCAAGAATATTTTTAGGCGGTTACCAAACAGCCCCTCAAGGGGGCAGAATCAGCCCCAGATAGAACCATTGCTCCAGGTTAGTAGTTTCGAACTGGGTTCTGTCAGATGCCCTTAGAGATGTCACTGGTTTTGGATCAATTTTTAAAGTTTTTTACATATGCAGGTATTGTCAGGCATATAAACAGGTAGAGATCTATGTGCGTGTGTGTATAGATATGCATATTAACATATATTCTCTATAGGGCTACATATGGCTGTATATTTACATGTAACGTGCCAGTGGCTGTATGTGTAGCACATATACATGCTGTATCACATGTAGTGCATTTCACGCATTGCTCACAAAGCCCTCAGGAACCTGCCTGACTCAGAGAGAAATGTCTGCTTGCTGTCGTCGCTGTAACTGTGTCACTTGGTGGCGCATGGAATGCAGTGTGCCGTGTGTGTGTGTGTGTGTGTGTGTGTAAGAGTACAGCAGGATGTCCAGTCTGTGTGCATGGAGCGGGTGTGCACGTGGAGACCTGTGGGGCCCGGTCTTCCGGGGTAATCAGCTCTGTTCAGATAGGACGTAGACCAGCAGCAGTGTAAACGGTGAGACCAGGCTTCGCGGCAGACTGCTTGATCTGGGCAGTGGCCTGCTGTCCTCCTGAACCTCACATTTTCCTCACATGGGTTGCCCAGAGTTCCCGTACCCTAAGGTGTTCACTTGACGCAGGGCTGCAAACCACTGCCCTCGGTGCGGTATGACGGGATATTCTTCCGGCCGGGAGCCCTCGGTCCTATGTGAAAAGCACTCTGGAAGACCAATGTCTGTGCACATGAGTACAGTATGTGTGCTTATAGAGTTTTACTTCTGGTAGTATGGTGAGGTGTGATTTGTACCGCTCTACCTGTTTTTCTGAAATTTTTTGGGGAAAAAGCTGTTACCTTTATATTGAGAAAAGTCCTACAGTGGCCACAGAGCAGTTTCCAGAAGGACCTCTGAGAGGCCTGGTTAGGTGGAGGCAGGCGTGGGCTGCGTCTGTCCCTGGTTCTGCTGCCTTCTCCTCGCTCCTCACTGCTCGTGTTGCTGTGTTCTGCCCAGGTCTTGACCTCCTCAGCGGGCGCCTGTGCTTCTCATCGAATTTTGGGCTTAGGAAGAACTTTTCACCGTCGGATCTAGATGGACGGTGGGAAGCAGGCTTAGCATGTTTGTCTACTCTGCACGGCCCTGTGCGGGCTCCGAGGAAAGTGCTTGGACCAACTAGTTCAGGAGGTTGTGCTTCATCCTGGTTTCGAGGAATCAGGGATGACAGGGTAGAGGAGCAAGAGTCACAGTGGAAATCTTTGCCCTTGCTCCTAGTCCCAGATTGCCTTACCCTGGAATTTTTTTCTACCCTGTCCTAGGGACCTCTCTTTCATCAAAGTCATAAATGTGGGTCAGCGATTTTTAGTTAACAGAGTCCAGGACTACATCCAGAGCAAGATAGTCTACTACCTCATGAATATCCACGTCCATCCTCGCACCATTTACCTTTGCCGGCACGGAGAGAGCGAGTTCAACCTTTTGGGGAAGATAGGGGGCGACTCTGGCCTCTCGTTGCGTGGAAAGCAGGTGAGTAGTGATCTGCAGGCTGGATTTCCTAGGTTAGATGTAGAAGGGCGTGGTGGAGGTCACCTGTTTTATGCTCTTCTTGAAGCTTCTTAGTATGTGGTCTCAGGTAGGCTAGTGCTGAAGATGTTTCTTGCTCACTGCTTCTAGCTCTGTTTTACAATGAGGATAACGTGGATATGTTTTGGCTAAGATCATCCAGGCACCAGTATTTATTGGACAGGACTTGTGTTCCTGGCACAGTACAGGGTGCTCCAGATACTGTTCACTTCCTCTTGGGTTTATCTCCTCATCATGGCTAAACAGATTGCCCATTACAGGCTGAGTTAGCTCTGTGTGTGTGTGTGTGTTTTCTTCTTTTAATTTTTATTTTCAAACCCCAGTTTGCCCAGGCTCTAAGGAAGTTTCTGGAAGAACAGGAGATAGCAGACCTAAAAGTATGGACGAGTCAGCTGAAGAGGACCATCCAGACTGCGGAGTCTCTTGGAGTGACCTACGAGCAGTGGAAGATTCTGAATGAGATCGATGCTGTGAGTAGGCATCCCGGATCCAGGTAGAAACTCTCAGAAGTCTCGAGTTGCAGTTTTATCTAGAAAAGACCCAAACCACCCAGGGGAAGCCAAACCTGTGGTCATTCTGAGAGTTGAGGGGAGAAGTAGGTACAGTTGTCCCCACAGCCAGGATGTTCTGCCTGCCTTAAATACCTGTGCCTCTGGTGGGACCCAAATCTGTTTCTGGCCCAGCCACTCTGGCACCTGGGGAGAATGGTACTAACAAGGACTTATTTTGTTCTTTTGTGTATTTTCCTTATGGGAAAATTAAATAACTCACTACTCAGTTCTTTAATTTCTGCTTAGATCATTTGGCCAGCTGCTCTGGAAAAGTCCTTCTCCACATTTTCCTCTACCCCTGAGCACAGAGGAGATGTCTCTTTTTCCTTCCTTGCTCTCTCCCCCTTTCTTCTCCTGCAAGTTCTCTACTTCAGTTTCCCTCCGTTACTGATTGCTGCTGCTTTTATCCTATCGATTCTTCTCAACCTTTAAGTGCTCCTTGGTGGTAGAAGGAAGTGGCAGCCTCAGCTAGAAAAGCTGCCTCCTCTCTGCAGTGGCTGTCACCCCGCGACACCCCGTAGCACTCAAGTCACAGTCATGCGCGTAGGGCGTGGCGTGGAGTTAGACGTTGGTGCTCTTCATCTCCCTGTGGGGTGGGTCACGCGACCCGGTCCACCTCCCGACGCCGGGGCGGTTCCTCGCAGGGCATGTGTGAGGAGATGACGTATGCAGAGATCGAGAAGCAGCACCCAGAGGAGTTCGCACTCCGAGACCAGGACAAGTATCTGTACCGCTACCCTGGCGGGGAGGTGAGGCTCCCCACGTGTGAATCACCGCCTACTCCTCGGCCGGGCGCGGGTTTGCGTCAGTGTGACAGAGAGGTGTGATTCTGAGGGTGGTGTGGAGACGGTGGTCTAGACATCGTTTATCTTCCTGCCTTGGGCTCGTACCGTGTGGACCTCAGCTTGGGTGGTCACATTAGGCCTAGTGTATCTGTTAAGCTCTCTCAGGGGAAAAGGAGACAAGATACCCTGTGTTGAGGATGTTGTAGTACCGATGTGATCCTTTTAACTTCTTTTCCATTCTGCTTCCTCTGTCACCCGTCTCCATCCAGGCGGGTATTGCAGGGTTGCCCCTGCTGCTCTAGGATGTTCAAGCAAAAGTAAATAAAACAGGATGCAGAGGTCCAGGAAGCTTTTAGACATCTACTGTTGCCTTATACTCTATTAATCTGCCAGAAAAAGTGCCCTCAACGTTGAATTCAAACTTCCTTTTCTTGACCTGTGGTTTTCTTTGTCTCGAAATCCAAGTATTCTTAGGGTCCCATGGCTAGGGCAGTTGGTAGGTGACACAGAGTCGCTGAGCCCGCAGGAGGAAAGCCAGCTGGGGAAGGGGAAGCCGCCTCTTGACTCTGGGACTCAGCCACCCTCCAGCTGCCAGCTGTGCCTGCCCCTCTTCCCCACAGTCATACCAGGACCTGGTGCAGCGCCTGGAGCCTGTCATCATGGAGCTGGAGCGGCAGGGCAATGTCCTCGTCATCTCCCACCAAGCTGTTATGCGCTGCCTCCTGGCCTACTTCCTGGATAAGGGTGCAGGTGCTGTGTGAGGGGTGGGCTGGGGCTGCGAGCCCGCCTGGAAGAGGGCTGGACCTGTGGCAGTGCCCATTGTGATCCCCGGCAGCCGGACCTCCCCGACTGCTGCTCCAATAGAGTAGACCCCTGAGCAGCAGCTGCTTGCTGAATTCGCCGTGGGGCTGCTGGATCTGCTGGATCTGCTGGCCAAAGGGCCAGCGTTGCGCTGACACCTGATGGTGTCGGTGGAGTGGTTGGATAGGCCCAGCTTGTCCCGCTGGCTGCGAGGAGGCTGCGGCTTAGAATCATCTTCCTCCTTTGGGTTGGAGATGGGGTAGCTGCTTCCCAGCAGAGCAGTGGGGAAGTGTATTACTGCCTTCTTTCCTTCCCTTCCCATCTCTCTGAGCTGCCGGAAGCCCGCAGGACGAATGATGGCTGCTCCTTGGGCCTCCTGCAGGGCCCTGGCTATAGCACTGACTCCTGTTTTGCCTTGAGGAAGGATCTATGATAGCTCTGTCTACTTCCTTCCCACTCAGTGGCTTGATATTTGTCTTAATAATTGTCTGGGGCTCAGGGGAGGAGCTGCATAACTCTAGATGGTAGTCAGGGTGAAGAACCCCCTGTGAGAGCCTCAGACTCCTGCAGAGTTGATCGTACTCCACATTCTGAAGGTGCTTCCCTCGCCCGGTCCGTCTCTTTCAGATGAGCTACCGTACTTGAGGTGCCCTCTTCACACCATCTTCAAACTTACTCCCGTGGCCTATGGTAACTATGGCTCAGGGCTGCCAGGAGGTGGGGACAGAGGAAGGTCCGAATATGTGAGTCTCCTAGAAGTTTGGCCGCGTCACCCCTGGAACCCAGGGATTTGCCATCAGTGTCTTGCACTTTTAATGAGATGCACGCATGTGTGTGCACACTTGGCAGTCCGTACATACCTTGGTGGCAGGCTTTCCCATAGCGAAACGGAGGAATTCTTTTCCATGAGCTTTTTCCTGATGGCTCCTCTTTCCTCTGTTTTCTCAGGGTGCAAAGTAGAAACGATTAACCTCAACGTGGAAGCTGTGAACACACACCGTGACAAGCCCACCGTAAGTGTTTGTCCACAGACCGAAGTGCAGCTCCCTGCCACCTTGAGTGTGTGAACCTCTGCCATCAGGAGACCAGGGTTCCTTTTATGTACAAAAGGAAAACACCCAGAACTCATGGCCTTGGTAGTCGGCTTCTAAAAGGAGAAGATGGGAGAATTATTAATTTTTTAAGTTAGTGCCTCTTTTATGGGCCTTTGGGCTCCTGAAATTCAGTTAAACGTGGACAGTGTTAGGCAGAAGTGACATGCAAGCCCCCACCCACCCCCAAGATCCAGGGGAACCTGCAGGGCGGGTGGTTCCCTGGCCTGTCCCTGGTATCTGTGTGGTTCTCCTAAGTGAAGCACTTCCTTGCTGGGCCCCATTTCTGCTCTGGAATGTGACACGCTGAGTCACCGGCTGCTCAACCTTGTTAGCCCCCGGGGTGAGGAGATCTGGCCCTGTCTTGTGTAGAGAGCAAGAGGAAGGAAGCTGTGTGCTTACGAGAAGAGTCTAACCTTTGCCTGAGCTCTGGGCATGGCTTTCATGTGTGTGGTGTCCCTCCATTTCTAATCAGAACAACTTCCCCAAGAACCAAACCCCTGTAAGGATGAGAAGGAACAGCTTTACGCCTCTGTCCAGTTCGAATACAATAAGGCGTCCAAGAAATTACAGTGTTGGGAGCCGGCCCCTCCAGCCCCTCAGCCCTCTCCGTGCCCTGGACATGCAAGATGGGGCCGACCAGCCGAAGACCCAAGTCAGCATCCCAGTGGTGTAACCGTGTGTGTCCCTCCAGTCCCGGCCTCCTGTCCTTGCCACTAATCACCAAGGCGTCATTTAACTTCCCCACACCCCACCCCACACCCCACGCTGACCCTGGCCCCAAGTGTGCGATGCTGTGTGTGTAGTCTCCGGTTTGAAACATTTCACGCAGAAGCAAGAGGGCCAGCTGGGCCTTTCTTGTAGGACAGGCACCCCGATGGGCAGGCTGCAGGAGGAGGGAGAGACTGCATGCTCCCACACACCTGTTCTGTGTTCCCTGCTGTCCATACGCACGGGTGTTTGGTGAGGTAGGGAATGGTCATGAGTTGAGGGATCCACAGATGCCCGTCTGTCCTCCGCCTCTGTCTGATGTGCTCCATGCACTCGCCTTTCTCCCTCTTCTTGCCCAACACTGGGCGTTGCGCGTGGAAGCGGAAATGGAGCTGCTGGGGAGAAGTCCAGGCCCCGTGGGCCCACGTGGATCTGGACTGGGCGCGTCCTTCCCTTCCCGTCTCCCGTCCTCTCCAGCCAGGTCCTGTCGGGGTCAGCCCAGGCTGCGGGACATCCGCGGCGTTGACGGAGGGTGAGCGTTCTGGGCTCTTGGCGTGAGAAACGGTTCCGAGTTTTCGATAGCTTGGGGCAGCTGGCTCTGAGGATGACGGGAGTGCCTTGGTTTGTGTCCAGTGTGGAGGGCTCCTTGGCAGGCAGTGAAGCAGGTGGTTTCCGGCCTTTGCAGGGCTCTCCACTCAGAATCGGGTCTTTTACCCACAGTTTGGTCCTTCGCCAGTCACTTCAGGCAGGTTTCCTGCCAAAGCCTGTGACCTCAGGGCCTGTTTAGAAGGATGGAATTGGGTTTAAGAGCCACCTGCAATCCCTGAATACCTCAAGGCAAAGGGTAGAGCAAAGTTCACTAACTCTGCTCATTCTTTCCCAGTGCTTTTCAGCGTGCTCTTCTAAAGTTCATTTTTTGGACATGAGCAAGTGTTTTCTCTCCAAACATGGCAAACTTTGATGAATTTCATCTCTGTTGTTGGTTGTTCTTTGTGGATAAGGAGAAACGGTCTCATCGCCGTGTCCTAAGGGGCGCCTTGGCGTCTAGCTCTTGACTTCACATCTTTCCCCTCCTTTTCTGTGTAGGGTTATAGAGGACTTGCGTAAAGGAGGACTTTTTAGCCCCTTGGTGGCTTCCCCTTTCTCCATTTTGTGTACGAAATTTATGAACTAGCATGCCAAGTTCTCATGAGATTTTAGATGAGATGCGTGAGTCCCTACTTATCTACTAGTCTTCTAGAGGCGACTAGTGAAAGCAGTTAGCTGTTTTCCAAAGAGCTTTTGTTTTGCTATAGAAAACCTTTCATCATGGTTCTCAGGAGCATCCCTGGAATCCCCTGTAGATCTCCTGGATCCACATATGCGCTGTGCCCGGCTCCGAGTCTGGACGTGAGTGTGCTGAAATAGCTTCTCTAGCGATCCTGATGCACACTGCAGGTTAACTCCACCTTGGGAAGCGGGGCAGGCAAGCGCAGCGTAGTGCTTTCTTGGGCAAAACGTGCACCCTGGAGTTCCAAATTCCTGGTTTTGAAACAAGTTCTCTGGAGTCAGAGGCTGGAGCACATCCCGATATCAAAGGAGGTAAGTCCCTCAGGGGCAGGCTGCTGTGTGTTATTTGATTTATATTTTTGGTACCGGGGATGGAACTTGGGACCTTGCTCTTGTGAGGCAGGCGGTGGCATCCCTGAGCTAAATCCCTGGCCCCTGGCTGCTGTGTTTTAAAGGCTCATTCTCACCTCTTGTCCCGTTGTGGGTGGTGTGGATCAAGTCGCTAAATTCAATAAATGTCACTGGATAAAGGCCAAATGCTTTAAGGACCCTGTGGAAAGGCCCTGAGATAGCAGCTATCGGAGGTGAAACTGTCATCACAGACAGCCCATCTTGGCCTTGTCTTTTCGAAGCTGTGTCCAGGACATAGTGAGCCGCTGTCCCCGTGAAGCCATTGCCGATGTCTTTAGTAGTGTCTTTGTGCAGCTTTGGGCTGGATGGGGGAAGGATGCACAGAAGGAGAAGAAAAGGTCCTTGCCCCAGAGAAGGTTGTTTTAAGAGAACACAGCATGCAGTTTACTTGAACATTTGGCTAAGAGCAGCGCTGCGAGTCGGCAAGGGCTGACCCTGCTGTGGAATACAGGCTCCATCCCCAGAGTTCTCTTGTCCTGTGGCTGTGAGGACAGAAGGGCTGAGTCCCTCCCTGTGTGTAGAGCAAGAAGCGGTGTGGGAGGTCCGTGGAGCACGTCACCAAGTTACCTTGTGGAGCTTAGCTTGGCTGGCAACTCTAGCCCAAATAGATGTCGTTTGGTGTTCTCCTGGTGCTAGGTGAATGTTTCAGAGCTAATGGACGAGAAAGAGGACTTTGACCCAGAGATACTGGATTTAGGCTGCACCTTCTCTGAGCAACACCGGACTTCTCTGACCCAGCAGCACCGAGTTAGCCTGTCACAAACGCCACCACCCAAGACCCGTCTCCCTATGCTCTCTCTGGCTCTGCTGCCTATTTTTCCTGTCTTCCCTGCGTTCATTTGCTTCCTTCAGAAGAGGAACTGGAAGATTTTCTTACCTGCTGGACAGGAGAAATTGGAATTTGAGAACACCAGAAGTTTCCACTTCCTTCAGTTTTTAGAGCAAGATCCCTTCAGAGAAGTTTAGTTGGAAGAGGCCAGGAGAATGTAGAGTAGAATAGAGCCCTTTCTCAAGATTTTAGAGAAGTTCTGTTTCCTGTCTTTTATTTTCTGCCCTTCTGTCCCCTCGTTACGTGAATGTGTTTTAGTAGTGGACACTCATTACTCAGCTGCGCCTGCATCACAAATCCTAAAAGAAGGGTTGTGATGTCCTCCTGAGTACCCTTTGCAGAAGCTGTGATTTTTGTCATGGGGAAATGGGTGAGAACTACTGATATAAAATGGAGAAAAGAAAACCATAACATATTCAGTTTTCTTTTCTTTGCCTCAAAAGTGAATGAGGTGAGGCTGGGGATTTAGCTCAGTTGTTCTGCCGCTTGCCTCGCAAGTGCAAGAACCCGAGTTTGATCCCTACCTGCCCCCCCCAAAAAAAAAGATAGAAAAAGAGAAAGAAGTGATCAAAAAAAGTGATCGAAGAAGCCTGGGGCAGATTTGAAAGAGGAATCTAAAACAAATTTATTAGAAAATCCCTGACTAAGTTTATCTCCAGTTTACAAATTGGGATTTACCTCTTATTATTGGGATTGTTTTTTGCTTTGTCTTGGGAAAGGGCTATTTTTTACATTGAGTTGGAAAGTAGAATACGGAGATCTTGCAGGAACTTGCTCTGTGTTGTGGATCCCTCCTGTGTCATTGCCCCTGGTGCCCGCTGTCCCTGGAAGTTAGAGTCGGGATACAGTGTGTTTGTACTCTTGGACTGAATGGTTGAGTATTTTGGCAGGGATGTGGGGATTCCCTTTGTCATCCTCTTTGGATCTTCAGACTTTGGCACTTGAAGAAACGCAAGCAATTACTTTTAGAAATAAGTCCATCTGGGTTCAGAGGAGCTCTGGTGTGTGGGGGCCGATGAACAAGGGAAGTGTGCCCAGGCGGGACAGCTGAACCTGGCTGCAGAGTCTCGGGCACTCTCCCTTGTCCTGGTCAAGCCTGGAAGCCGTGCTGGGTTTGTTGTTAAAGTTTGCTGGATTCGCCCAGCTTTTCTTATATGCTTTTTGAGGCTTGTCTGCGTTTTAAAATATTTTCGTTTTTAAAATGAACAGTTGAGTCAGGTTGCAACATCAGCTCGATCTTTGACTTTCCATAGAGGTGACAGACATTGGGGTTGTGTCTAGGAATTGGATTTACACTCGTAGCATCCAGAGAGCTGTCTCTAGAGGGTCTGTAAACCGGTGGTCTGACACCTTCTCCTTGTTCTGAGTGATGGCCCATGTACACACTGTAATTCTCTGTCTGAGCACTGCACCCTTCTCCTCTGTGGGGAAGCTCTGCGCACTATGATTTTCCTTGGACAGTAGCAGCCAGATTCCTTTGGTTCTGTAAGCGTTGTCAGTTGTACCCCACCGGTGTGGTGTTTTGTGGTCTCAGCTGAGGGACTGCCTGTTCAGAGCCTGAAGATGTGACCTCTTCTTGAAGTCCCCTTATCCATTCCCTGCTTCTGGGCAGGGCTGAACTTTCTCCATCAATTCCTCAAGCCTCCCTGTCGGCCCTTACCCTGTTAGGGAATGCAGCATTCCATTGGAGAGTGCTCCTCTTTTTAGTCTGCCATGTACTTGGCTTTTATTTCTAATCTGAGAAGTAAAAATGCAAAGGAAATGTTATATTCAGAAACTGATTTTTAAAAGTGGGCAAAAGTATTCTTTCCATTAACCCTTCCACTGGACATCTCTGACCAATGTTTACCGGCTTGCGGATTTTCTACCTGAATTGCTTGTGTACTTTTGTAAAACACTCAAGTCACAAGATCAACTCATTGTGGTTGGGTGATGGTTTTCTGTGCCGGGAGCATGGGACTGATTGCAAACAGTGCCCTTCGGAGAGGACTGGAGTGGTTGGGTGGAGATGGCTGGGTCGGGAAGCTTGGGAACAGAGTTGGGCTGCAGATTTTCTGGGCTTGGCTCTGTGGAAAATAGAAGCATAAATCTTCAGCAGATTTCATGTTTTATTAGTGTATGACACTGATGATAAAGTGTGTGACACTTAGCTTCCCCTGTGCCGTGTATAACTGTATTTGAAATGTTTGGGTTGTGTGTATGTGTAGAATGGGCAAATAAAATTGTTGAGTAACTCGAACCTACCAGAAGTCTTCTGGGTTTTTGTTTTGTATTTTGGGTTGTCTTTCTCATCCTCTCCTTACCTCTGAACTCTCCCCTCACGCTCTGCTGTGACTGGGACTCGGGCAGGCCTACCCTCATTCTCAGTGTGGTTGCAGTCCCTGGTGTAGGCGTGGCTCTCTTCCACCACCTTCTGGACAAGATCGGAAGGACACTCCAGGAATTGTGAATTGCCTTAGTCGCTCTACTGTTGGTGCCTACACAAAAATTAAGAAAAAGTTGCACTTGACTTATGGTACCATGATTCCATTAGCTGTGTATAACTCAGTATAAAGAAAAAATTGGGAGCTCTTTTAGGATTTAGTGGGCTGACCCTTTGAAAATACATCCTGCCTGTTTCTAAAGAGATCGTAGCCGATGGCACAGAATGGTACTTAACTTCTAGAGCGGGAAATGCAGGTAGAATTGTTTCACCTTTCGCACATCTTATTCCTTGTCCCTAACGAGGACCAGGAGCTCCTTAGGAAAAGCTCAGGCCTTATCCCAGCACACTGAACCAGTCTTCATTCTAACAGGATCACCTACCATGCAGTCCACAGGCAGATGTAACATTTTAACAGTGTCCTAGGGGGAGAACTTCTCAGAAGGTAAAACATGAAGCCCCGGCTTATGGGGAGAAGGTGACGACTGATTTCGGAATGGACGGGGTGGCTGTGTCATCCATGGGACGCCTCCTCAGAGCCCAGGAGGCCCCTGACTGCAGTGTCACTTTCTCAGCGTGGTCTGGCTGCTGTCGCCCGCATACCCTTTACCACGGGGATCTTGACCACTTCCGCTGCCTATCTTGAGTCTGTAGCTTATAGTTCAGGACTGAAAGAAAGGCCTCGCCCAACATGGTCCCAAGTTCGGCTTCTCAGAAGGAAGCCCATGGCTGCACCATTGGCGCTGCCTGGCTTCCGGTCGAGGTGTGCGTGCCGCCATGTCAGTCCTTGCATGTGTGTGGCTGTGGGGTAAGTGGACTGGAAAGGAGTGGGGTGTTGGGAAGGGTTCTGCTCTGCGCTCCTCTTGTGTCTTCTGGCTGCAGTGTTACAGCTTTGCCTCTCTCCCTGTTTGACTTGTAGGCAGTAGATCATGTGCCGGCTGGGCATAGACGCCCTTCCGTGGCATCCCTCATCTTGTACTCCTGAGGACGCAGAGGCCGAGCCAGACCTCTCCGAGGGACAGGGTCTGCTGCAAAGGCCGGATGTCAGCCTCACCGAGGCTGGATCAGGAAATCGAGCAGGGACCGCGCGTAAGGTGCCACCAACATGGGGCCTGGAAAAAATACTGCATTGCTGCCCCTCGTGTTAATGGGAACGTCCGTTACACTGTGACCCGAAGCATTTAGCAGCCTGAATCAATTAATTTTTGTCGTGTCTTTGCTGGGTTTGGCCCAGGTTTGCAAATATCATTCCGTGTAGGCATTTAACACCCTGCCTGGGAATGCGTCGCGCTCTGGCTATTCTTTGCCCAATGTGTACACCCATCTCTTCGAATTTGGTTTCCAAACGAGAAAGACAAACTCCGGGAAGCTGTTCCATGCAATAAGAGCCGATCTTTGCATCCGTGCAGGCGAGCAGGCTGGAGTCCAAGACCCGTGTGCTGGCATCACCTCTAGCCGTATTGGGAACGAAAGAAAAATTGCCAGGTGAATGGAGGGAACCTGAGAAACCTGGCCCCGAAATGCTGCTTCTGTGGGGACAGATGAGCAGTGCCAGCTGCACTTCTGCACTTGGGAAAGTTTTCTCAGTCCAGGCCCTGTGGGATCTGGCAGCAGCTCCCGGAAGGACACCCGACTTTAAGCTCTCTTTTCTGCCTCCCGTGGCGAACGAGGACTGCTGTTGTCCCAGATGTCGGGAATCAGCACTGGTTAGAAGAGGAGGCTGCCATTTGCATTCCAGGAAGAAGGAGGACGGCCCGGTAGGAATCGGCTTTGGGGAGTCTTTGGTTTCCAAGCAGCTAGAAGCAGCCGTGTCCTTCATTGCGGTCTGTCGCGGAGACGTGGTCTTGAAGCGGCTGTGGCTGTGCTGAAAGTGGCAGTTTCGTGATGCCCGCCCCTGAGCTTTTGTCTCAGGATAAGATGGTTTCGCGTGCATGCTTTGCAGGCGCGGGGAGAAGCAGAGCCTCGCTCGGTGCGGTCAGTGGCTTCCCTGCAGATAAGGCAGATCACAGCTCCCCGCCCTAGAGATTGTCAGACGGAAAACCCCTCTCTGCAAATGTGATTTTCGTGTTGCGACTCCTGAAGAAGAAAGTTGAGCCCCACCCCCCAAGGGTATCATAGAAACAAATTATTTTTTTAAAGAACTTACATTTTTTAGCTTTACCTTTTTTTCCTTTTAACTCAGATGGCTACTTGCTGGGAAAAGTGTGTAGCAAGGAAAGAGTTACATGTAGGTTTTCGGAGATGGTTCTTTCCCGGTGGCTGGCCTGAGGCGGTGAGCTGGGCTGCAGGCGGCCCAGCGGCTCTGAGTGGCTTTTATACACACAGAGCTCTTCAGAAGGGTTCCTCTGTTCCTGTGATGCGGATTTCCTTCTGCATCTGAACACACTGTCTTCTGCTGCTCAGACAATGTTTTTATTTATTCTGTCCACGTAAGGCATTTTAAAGTCCTCACGTCAGCATTTGCATGTATTTAATCAGAATGTAATATAATTTATGTCATCGGTTTTTTGGGTAGAAATCTAGGTGGGTTGAATATTTAAGCCTGATGTCCATACTCTTACCATAAGTTACTAGAAAATGGATATGTTTTCTGTAAAAAGATAATAATTATGTTAAGGCAGTGTGGGTTTTTTTGAATACTTTATTTCTCATTGATTTTTATTATAAACCAAGAGATGTATTTCTCTGGAGAAAAGTTCATCTCCTGGGTTAATAAAATCATGCTAAAAATGTGAGTCACATGTATGGCCTTTGTAATAAGAAAACAAAATAAAGATTATTTTCAATTAAAAATGCAATTAGTTTTTAAAATCACACACCAAAGATAAAAAGCTGGTGCATTATGCATGTGCAAAACCTTAATAATTGCCCCAAATATTTTTGAAACTGACTTTAAAAATGGTTCCCACCAGGCGTGGTGGTGCACACCTGTAATCCCAGCACTCAGAAAGCTGAGGTGGGAGGGGTCACCATGACTTCTAGGCCAGCCTGGATCACATGGGAAGACCCTGTCTCAAAAAACAAAAAACCAACTCATGTTTTTAAATTGTGTATGTAATTTCAACTGCAGTATTTTATTTGATGGCTACTATCAAATTCCACTAGTGTTTTACAGTGATATCCATGGCAATGTTGCAGTCACGCATTATTGCTATTCTAAATTTCCATTCTATTATGTAGCATATTTAATGACTACTTGTTAATTACAGTGGCTGAAACAATGTCCCTGTCCTTTTTTAAAAGTTTTATCATTGGAAAAGAAATGGTTAACAGCAGGTATATATATCCCATGGATGACCTTGACAACAGCCATCATTAGGTAAAAGTTATGTAAATGTATATGATAAAGGAACTGGGAACTTTCTCCTTGGGGCCAGTAACAACAGAGATAAAATGGTGATGATAACAGAACATTTCCAGTTGCTTTTGTATTCAAGGTTCTTTTTTTAAGAATGAAAATGATTTATGCATTCTTCAACTTTGAAAGTGGGAGCAGGTGGCAATAAGTACGAGTATAATAAAATGTATTTCTTTTTTAATTGATGTTATTGGTATACCATATAATGACCTTCATTGCTGGAAATTTGTACCTTTACATAAGTCCTGATGAATGCATTGTGCTTTAATAGTATAGCCAGAAGAAAGCAATGAGAGTGTATTGTCAAGGGTATAATTTCTGGTCACCGTTGCAAGTTTTACCTAATTCAGCCGTGGAACCATCACTTATAAAAGGCTGACAGTCTGGATCATTCTTGTTTTACAGTAGTTAATGAGCGCCCTTACTGAAGGACACCACTTAGCACGCTTAGAATTATTGTCAAAGCCAATGCCTCAGAACAAGGCAGATGGTAAGATTCCTAACCATGAGGATGCAAGAAATGCACACCATACTATTTTGAAATGTAGCCAGTAACAAAGACATGAGGATTAGAAAATGACTGGAGAGTGTGCTGGCATCATGTGCAAGTTATCATTTGCCTCTGTCTTGTACTCTTAATGGCTACACCATGTCTTAATCCTCTCCAGGGTTTTCATTTGGGAGTCACTGTGAGGAGGGTGAACCTTTAGACTTCTCTGGCTTAACCTGACAAGCATCCCCCATCCCTGAATCCCCTCTCTCTCCTGTGACAGTCTGGCAATAGCCCATCACCGGCTCGGTGACCTTTACACCTACTCTGTGCCTCCCAACATGCACTTATTCTCTTGAACTCAATAAGAGTCTGTCTGACATGCTAACGACTTCCAAGAAAAAGATGCACATCAATTTTGCAGACAGTTTAAGTCACAACCTGAAATCCGTCTCTGGACCTCAGCTGGGAAACCAAGAGGCAGGTAAAATCCTCAGATCCCCTTCTCCATTGCTTTCCTTTGACATGTTAAAAATGTATACAATCAAGTGATATCTGTGTCATGCTGACCTCCCTCCCCAGTTTCCTGGCAGCCTATGAATGGCACAGGCTTCTTGCTTCCTTATAATTCAGCCATATGAAGAGTCTGACCAAAGCCTGCATGACTCGTGGGCACATTGGATGGCAAGTGGGAGAGCAAACCACCCCACACTCACACACACATCGCTGTGGCAGACCTGAGTCTTGGTCTGTGAAGCTGCAGGGCCCTGAGAGATAATGTCATGAGTTAATGTCACAGCCAATGGTAATGTGGCTCCAACTAAATTCCTTTCCCTGAATTATGGCCTCCCCCACTGACCTGACGGGTTACTGGACAATTACCACCCAGTCTCGGTGTCCCTCTGTTCCTTCTGCAGGAATGCCTTTGCCCCCCTTTATGAGCCTGCCGCTCACTCTGCCCCATCTCTTCTTCCCATGACTATGTAATCAATGCAGGGGGTCTTAGGTGCCTGGTGTCTTTATTCCTGCTCGCCTTGGACCATCCTAATCCCTGTGTTCTGTTTCAGTCTTGTTTCCGTGTCTTTCTTGCTCCTTGCACTGTATCACCTAAGCAGGACATTGAGGCTTGAGACAGGGATCCCAGTATCTGTTTATCTGTGATTCTACAATGCAAAAAACTCTGAAAACCAAGTTTTCTTTTAACTCATTTGACAACGAAACCTGCCTGGAAGTATGTGAAGATATTTATAGTCTATGTGTTTCAATTAGTGTGAATATTTTTATATTCCGTGGAGAAATACAAGTAAGACAAGAGCATATGTAATGTCACATCTCTGAAGTCTGGTATCTGAAGCTAGGCACTGAGGTGAATGCTTTGCAATTCTCAATAATACATGCGGGAGGGCTGGGGATTTAGCTCAGTGGTTCCACCACTTCGCAAGTGCAAGGATCCAAGTTCAATCCCCGGTACCAAAATACTAATACTAATACTAATAACATATGCTAGATTTTATGTCCGTATTTATGTAGGGCTAAATTAGATTTTCCTTCCCCTTTTACTCCTCAATTGTATAAACATGGATATACTTCTATACAAGACACCAAAGAGCAGTTATTCCTCAAAGGATAGAACATGCATTAAGAAAACTTATTCAGAATTTAGAACTAGACAAAAAGAGATCACTGGAATAAATTTTCAGTGCATAACTGGGCATTTTTTTTAGCAGACTGAGGGTTAGTAATTCCAAAGCGGTCTGCAACTTTGATTAACTTTCTATTCACTCAGTTCTTTTACAACTCTCCAAAAATAGTTTAATTTGTAGCAAATGGTTGAAAACAAAAATTATTTTTATGTGAGAATAATGCTAATGATTTCTGATCACAGTTCAAAGCAAGTGAATTTTGTCCATTTTGTTTCAATTATTTTTCTCTCATAGAGAAAAGCCAATTCCAAATATTGGTGTTCTGTAGGATATTAATTTTGCATTTTAATTTTAAAATTTTTATTTACATTTATTTATTTATTTGGTACTGGGAATCAAACTCACAACCTTGCGCTTATGAGGCAGGGAGCAGCACCACTGAGCTAAATCCCTGGCCAAATTTTGCATTTTTAAAAAGTCATTCAGAAGTCTTTTGGTGGACAATATACAGTTCCATCTTTCAAATTCTCAACGAGTTCTAGCATCTTAATGGTTCCTCATTAATTAATGAATTGAATGAAATCTTTGACGTATTCGTTTTATATTTGCATAAAGCATGTTTTTAATTTTGAAAACTATATAAGATGCTGACGCTTCAGTTGTTCATGTATTCAAATAAGACGATAAAAACAATGAATATGGACTTTGGGGCTTAGGTAGAACTTCCAGATGTGTTCATTTATTCTTGCATTGCTTTGATTCATTCAGCAGACAACTCTTCAGTAAGAGGCACATGGAGAGGAATAATAAAAAAAAAGATCAAATGAGATGCAAAACTTATTCTAAAGTTTTTAACAGTTCAGTGTTAGAGTATAAAGAAGAGCGGGGGGGGGAACCTTTCCTGTACCTTCTGTGATCTGTGAATTAAACTAAAAACATTAACAGAAAAAACTCCGTTTATTTACACAGGTAACCTGAATATGTGTGAGTGGACAGTAACTCGCAGCGTAGTCAGATCTGAGGTTTGTACACCATCTTAGCAGGTGAAGGGCAAAGAGAGAAGTACTGACCAGAAAGCAGGTGATTTTGTCAAAGATAAATAGATTTCAGGAGAACAAACAGATGATAAGTTTTGTAATATTTGTCCTTGTGGGTATGAGTGGTTTCTCTGTCTTCTTCAAGGCCGTAAAACTCCCCCCAAAAGACCTTTGGGATAGATTTTATTTGCATTCTCTCTCTGGGAGTGAATCAGCACTGAAGCAGAACTCACGTCTGCCTTATTTCCCAGAAGGGGCTGCTTTTAGTCTAATGAGGGAACCCCCAAGAAAGCTTTTACCTCAGACATTTGTTGAATCACAAATATCTTCAACTTAAAAGAATCTGTATACCCAGTGGCATACTTGGGAGTGGCATAGTCTGGTCTTTGTCCGAAGAAAAGCAAAGAGATCATTGCAAAAAGATGAAAATGGGTGGGGAAGAGAAGAACATTTGAAAACTTTCTGTGTCCTTAGATGCTTTATGGGCCCTGAAACTTAAAATTTTATAGTTTTATCCCAGTTTTATAATTGGAGCACAGAGAATGAACTGCGCCTTCACAGTCCCGAGGCAGATGCTATGGGAGAGTGCTCAGAGCAATTCCATGTGCTGATTCCTGAGGCCAAAGCCTGTCCTCTACCGCTTTCTCCATTTATGTGGCTAACTGTGGACTCTGCTCAAACCTGTCCCAGGAAGAGCCGCAGGGGGAAGCCCAGCACAGGCCTTGCATATGCGGACACTATTTGGACGGAGAGACAGGTCAGGTTGGTTCACTTCCTGGGGCTTTCCATTTCAGCACTGCTGAGAGCCTTGGGGTATCCGTTGTTTGGGACTGGAACAGGAGGTGGCACTTAGGAGGCAGCTCTGAGTTGGATCTTTTCCTGGGAAAGCTCTACCCCCCAGTGCTGGCTTGAGTTGCGAAAGGGGGTGGTTATAGACACAGCAAATATTGACAGAAGTCAGGTCAGGGAAAGACCATTTCACCCACGTCTGCTGGGGAAAGACAAACCTGCAGTTAGGAAAAGGGACTGGGCACCGGATCTGCATTCCCAGAAGCTGGGAAAATCTGAGACTGAGTTTTTAAACTAGCAGCTCTTTTACCATCTCTGTTTCTGCACAGCCCCTCTCCACATTAGCTTCCTTACCACTCTTATCTGCTCTTGCAGGATTTTGGGGCTGTTTTTTACTTTTGTATTTTTTCCCGGTTTTCTAGGGAAAGAAAACCTGTTCTCTAGAGGGGATGTGGATGTGGTTGGTCTGGTCATAAGTGGTTTCAGAAGATCTCATTGGATCAGAACTAGGTTTTTGGGCTGGGTTAATTCCAGCGTGGGTCAGGTCTTGACGCTAGATGTTGTGCCAGACTGTATGCTGTCTCGTGTTTGTGTGGCTGCTCCCCGCCTCAGCTGGTATGTATACCTTCCTTACGCTCATCTGGTAGGGCACTGGACCTCAGTTTGTGGGTTATGAGGCATTCTGTCCAAAATTTTATGAAACTTGCAGGTTTTTTTTTAATTGAAAAATCTCAAATTACTTTGCCTAATGTTCCCTACTCACAAGGGGCTCGGTATATACTTCAGGATGATCCTGCTCTCTGAAGAGAGCAGTTACCATTGAGTCGCCATTCCTCTTCTGGGTGCAAAACAAACTCCTGAGAGGCAGTGCCCACGGGGTGTTTTGTGAGTGGGTATCTTGTGGCTGGACTTGAGGGAGATGCCTACTGTCCTCCTGGAGGCACCGGGTAACTGAAAGTCTCTGGCAAAGGAGGGACAGGAAAGTGTCTGCCCATGGAGAGAACAGGAATCAGAACCAGGGATCCCGCAGAAAGACAGGCTTGTGGGGCATCTCACGGGGCCCCCAGGCAGCACGTGGAACACCAAGTGAGTCTGTCTTCTTTTGCGTTCCAGCACAGAGCTGCACAGAAACCCCCTCAGTGAAGAACAGCATATCTGTGGCAGAGGAGGTGGAAGGACAGGTGCTGGAGACTTACTTTTGTATCACAGGCTACCACCTACAAGGAAAGAATAGCTTTGTTTGCAACGGCTCTGAGCAGTGGGCGGCCTCCACCGCTCAGTGCCACTGTAAGTCGGATCTTCCCACCTCTGCCCATTTTATCATCTCACTATATTCCTTTGTGGTCTCCTTCCTCTAGGCCATGTTAAAACTATATATTTTGTTTGTTTTGGTACAGGGGATCAAACTCGGGGGCAGGCGGTGGAACCACTGAGCTAAATCCCTGGCCCAAAACTCTGTTTTAAAAATTCTCAGTTTCTAGGAATCCATTTTAAAGCTCTGTAGAAGAGGAACTTCTCTGAGAAGCATACAAGATCAGCTCTTGATCAGTATGAGTTGGGTTGAGTCACTACAATCGATTATTTTTTAAGAAGGGATTTTCAGTACCGCTGGTATCAACCCAAGGGCCCCCTCATGCCAAGCACCTGCTTTACTACTAAGCTGCACCCCTAGGCCCTTGGAGAAATTTCCCCATATCTGAAGCCTGCCTTCCTCACGACACTTTATTCAATCTCATACTGCTTTATAAATTCTCGTGTCCAAGCCTGTGCTCCCAGCACCTTGGGAGGCTGAGGTAGGAGGGTCACAAATTTTTGCCCAGCTTCAGCCACTTACCAACTTCATGAGACCCCAGCTTCATGATTTAAGCAGGAAGGCAGGGGAGTTGGGGGTGTGGCTTAACACAAAGGCTCTGGGTTCAATCCTCAGTTTGGCCAAAAAAACAAAAAAAAGATATTATTAAAAAACCCCAAAAGCCAGAAAAATCAAATTGACATTATACTCATTTCATAGCTTCATCAGTTGATTAATCCTGTTCTGTCAATATCTTCCCTTTAGTATTCTGAAAGAAGAACATCAGTTCATTTTATTTCCCCCACCATACAACCTGTGGTGTGTGAGATCGGAGTGACTTGCTCAGCGTCACACAGTGTGGGGTCCCTTTCAGAGACAGAGAATAGTCTGTGTCCTCTTCATTATTAATATTATTAATATTTAAAAATAGCTGTATTGTGTCTCTGTGGGCTACACCAACATTGTCATCATTCATTAATGTGAAGAAATCCACGTTTCTGCATTTCCCCTACTTTTCTGCATCACGAAAATAAAAATAGAACCAAAAGGTGATGAGTAGGCATGCAGGTGGCTGGATGAAGAGAAAGACTTGCCTTAAGAGAGATTCAAAACTTTTGAGCAGTGTATAACGCGACGGGATAACGAGTGTACGGTTAGCAGTGTGTAGTTGGGGGCCTACTCATGTTTAGTGAACTTAACTTTCAGTTCGAGGGCTTCTTGTGCAAGACCAAGACCATTCTGCCAGGCTCAGAGCAATGTGCCTTCTCCCACCTTGCATGGACCTTCTGTCCTCTGGTGCCACACACCTGTCCACCTTACAAATGTGCAGATAGATGCTGTCATCTGCCGTCTTCTCCCTGAAGCCTGAGAGGTCTGGCTTGTGCTGTGACGGCATCAGCCTGGTCCTTTCAGGTCACTGCCTGTTTGCCTCCACAGTGGGCCACTGTCCTGACCCTGTGTTGGAGAACGGCGAGTTCAGTTCTTCAGGTCCTGTGGATGTAGGCGACACAGTCACATTTACGTGCAGTGACCACTACGTCCTCAAGGGCAGCGCCTGGAGTCGCTGCCTGGAGGACCACGGCTGGGCACCTCCCATCCCCACCTGCAGAAGCAGTGAGTACCGAGAGACAGCCGCTGATTAGCAGCATTGCCCTGGATGCCCCCACTCCCGCAGGACCCCTCTCATCTGTGCCCAGAGCCAGGGAGGAACTTGCAGGAGGCCAAGAGACAAATGTGGCTCCCGAGAGCAAAGCTTGACTCAAAGCATACGTCCCGGTGAGGCAGACAAGCCCAGGGATAGTTTGTTCTGTGTTCACGCAGGATTCCTGTCCTGCTACGACAGGGTGGTTTGGGACATCGAGCATTGCATTTTATGTTTTTATTTCAAGATAGTTTTATTCAAGCAATACACAAAACCAGAAAACTCCACAACGCATCCAGTTCAAGATTGAATATAACAAGAGGTACAAGTCTTTCTTTTATCACTACAATTATTCCCCTCAGAGGAAAGCAGTTGGGTGTGTTTATGCATCGACTCTTTCTTGTTTATGCACATTTAAAACAAAACCCTGATGCAATGCTTTAAATTAAACATTTCATAAGTATTTGCAAACGTATATACCTATGGAATGGGATCTTGCCATACATATTTTTAAACTGCTTTTTTTTTTTGTAACAATGTACATAGACATTTTCCCCACCCTAGTAATATAGCTTTAGCTCCTACTTTTTAAAGCTGCATCTGGATATACCATAATTTATCATACTTCTCTCATGTATTTACGTGGATGTGTATTTGCATATTTTTGTTGTTAGGAACAGTGCTAAAATGAATGTTTTATATACTCCCACATCTTTATGTCTGGGCTATTTCCTTAGGATATTATTATCCTATTAGTTGAATATTTAAATTGTGAAAATAAGCGCATTCACAATATCTGTATGACAATTTCCTGAAGGGCAAAAATAACAGAAGCTGCATGCTCTTCCCATGGCGGGCAGGCTCAGCACTCCAGCACATCCCACTGACCTGTAAATGTAAAAGGTGTGACACGGAGAGCAAAATGGAGATGGGTAAATGGGAAGCAGGGAGATCTTGTTCAAGTGGATGGGGGAGCACAAGACAGAGCGGAGGGAAAGTGGACAGGGAAAGAAGCACTGAAGGGGAAAATGATAAAAACAGAGCTTTTGCAAATGGCAAGGGGACCAAGAGTTGGAAGGAGCAGGGAGAGAAGGGAGAGGCAGCGACAAAAAGAGAATGAAAAAGAATGAAGACATGTTATGTATGCGTACCAACTCCCTACAATACACATCATCACTGTGTATGCTAAATATGCAGCTATTAAAAAGTGTGAAGGAAAAAATTAGTTTAAAAATCCCACTGGGGAGGGCATAAATCTCATGTTGCAAGTCGATGCTTTGGAAAATTACAACTAGTGTTCCTCTTTGGCTGGCTCAAATGGGAGAAGATGCTTGTCTTATAAAATAGCAAAATGTACAACAGTTTACAGGCGGAGGCAAATTAGAGCTGTGATAATTACTATGCTATCAAAATAGCAATGTATAGGGACAGAAATTAGGACAGTTTATTTTAAATCCATGGAAAACATTTGTATTCAATGGTAGTGATAAAGTGGTCTGTTTGGAAGAAGACAAAGTTGGGGCTATAGCTCATGGTATTTGAAAAAAATCTGTTCTAAATAGATTGAAATATATGAATATAAAAGCAAAGTGATTACATTATATTTGGCTGTGAAACCGTTACATGTTAAATATATAAAGAGTGCCCAGAAATCAGTAGGAAAAAGACACAGTAGTAGAAAAATGACTAAAATGTGTAAGGATGGACAATTCCAGAGCTGTGAGCTCACAGAATTTCTAATCCCCAGTTTTGTTGAACAATTACTAAGAATTGTGGAACTGGAAATTAAAATTAGACATAAATCTTTTACTAATCAGAGTCACAAAACATAAAATGTTGATTTCATCTAATAGCATGCAGGATATGAGGATACAGCCACTTATGTCAGTGAGAGAGCAAAGTGATATTAATCTTGGAATGTACTTCGGCAGTGCTATTAAAATAATAAATGGCTAGGCAGTTTGAAAGCACAAACTACATATGCTTCTGTAAGGGAATTTGCGGCTACTCAAAGCATGTGTACATACTACATGAAGCCAAGTAACAAGTGCATGGGTGATGTCGCTTTACCTCACAGGTTCATGGCATTTCTGAATAGCTTCCAAACCTTTCTGTTTTATTCAGTGTAGTGATATCTACCCTGATTCCGAGCCACAGGATCCCTGTCTTGTGTTACTTAATTGTGCAAATTCTGGAGAACTTTCCAAGGTCCCTGGAAAGCACAGTATTTTTGTCTATTAGAACCCAAATGCACATCATCTCCTTTGGTTCAGAATTAAACTTTTAAGTCACCAGAGCCCTGTCCAAATTAGAGTTCCTTAATTAACACATGGAAATTCTTTATTTCCTCTATTATTACTGCAGACTTTGAACTTCTACAGATTCTGAATTAACTGTTTAAGTAATGTATCTTTGTTGTCAAAAAATATAGAAGCACCCAGCGGAGGTGGTGCAGGCCTATCATCCCAGCACTCGGGAGGCTGAGGCAGGAGGATCACAAGTTCAAGACCAGCCTGGGCTGCATAGTGAATTCAAGGCCAGCCTGAACTATTTAGAGGGACCCTATATGTGAAGAAATCAATTTCATACAAGCCTACCAGTAGGTGATAAGGGTTAGAAATACTTTGACATCTAACTTCCCAGAGTATTTTTCTGTACGTTTGTATGTGACTGTGTTTTACAAAAAATGGTATTACATTATGCATGCTCTTTTATACTTTTGGGGAGGCATTGAGACAGGGTCTTGCTATGCAGTTTAGGCTGGCCTTGAACTCACTATGTAACCCAGGCTGGCCTCCAAATTCACAGGAATCCTCCTGCCTCAGCCTCCCAAGTGATGGGATCACAGGAATGTGCCATCATACTGCAGTCATCTTTCATAATTTTCTTTTTTTAACTCAGCATATTTGTTTTCAAAACATTTGTATTTCAGTATGTACATTCCTATCCAGTCAGTCCTAATTTAACCTTTAACCTTGACCACCATTTAACCTCATAAAAATCTCAATGCTGAAAAGGACTTAAAAAATAACGGTATTTAACCTACTTATCCCAAAATATTAGAAAGGCAGGTGAAAGGTCAGAGCCCGCCCAGGCCCCACCTGTGCTGCCATGCAGACGGCAGGTGCTGGGCAGACTGTGCAGGTAGGGGTGCTGCCCACTGGGTGTGCTGGTCTCAGGATGCTCCTGTGCTCCCTTCTCTCAGGAAACTGTGGCCCTCCGGAGAAGCCAGCTCACGGCTACTTCAAAGGAGCGAATTTCACCTCAGGGTCCACCGTCAGGTACTACTGTGAGAAGAGGTAAGGGCTGGGGGAGCGACCCAAACTCCATTTCCTGCTCTCTAAGCCCTGCTCGTTGCCGTGGTGATGGTGGGGTCACTCAAGGTCACACCTGGTGATGCTCTCCGGGCGGCTGCTCTGTTAGGGCCGCCGGGCAGGCGTGGACAGGCTGGCATTTTGGATGTCAGTTCTCATGGCTGCTCACTTTCCCTTAGGCCTTATTTTCAGGAAACACGGCACCGAGTTCTGGGATTTTCCACTGCTTGGGGTCCCGGGAAGCTCTCTCTGGTCCCGGGTACACAGGCCAATGCGTGAAAGCATCCTGTTCCTCCTAGTGGACCTGACTTTCCCCTCTCCGTTGAGACAGAGTTTAGAATACTGTATCTGTGTTTTCCAAAGAACCAAAGAACAAAACACTCAAAGACACGCAGAAGTTGGGACAGGTAGAGGATGGCCCTCACCCTGCCTGGCCTCCACCTACGGGTCTTCCAGACTCTTCTCCCTTCCCAGTCCTCCCGAGTCCAGTGGCTTCCGGCGTTCGGGCCCAGCAGACTCCAGTCCACTCACGTTCTTCTGACTAAAACCCCCTGCTCCCCTTCAGCCCAGTCCACTGACCCAGCTGCGTGTGCCTCCCGCTTCCTTGTGCTTTCCAGAGCTTCCATGAAGGCGGCTTCCCAGCGTCCTGGTGCGCTGCTCCCCCCTCCACACAGGCAGGAGCCGGGGATCCCACTGCTCCCCCGCACTCCTCTTGGGGAGGCTGTTTTCCCTCCCGCCGCTGCTCTGTGACTCGCCTGGGCAGGGCCAGCCTCCGTTTCCCGGTGGGGAGGGCGGACAGGGTCAGCGTCCTTCTCACACCCGGATCCCTGTGCGGCACCAGGGTGCTGAGACCTGCCTGCTGCGGAGAACCGGGCCGGGTCTCATCCGCCCCGCTAACCGCCCACCACCGTGTCCAGGTACCGCCTGGT